ACCACTATGCCATAGGACCATCGATCATCTTGTGTCATGTAGGTGTGGATTTCAAGGAAGGCCGAGACTATTAGTGGAACTTTTATTTGCTTCTAAAATCCATTGTATCACCTACATTCTTTAAAATTGAGCAATAATAATTTGTTTTTTACTCTTTAATCTGTCGTCTAAGCCACCATTAACTCTGTTATTATGTTTGATAAATCTAATCTGGCTTGAATCTAAGTAGAGGCCTCTATTTACTGGTATTACATTTTCAACAAGCTAAAACAACAACTGCTGACTGGGGAGTCAAGCCACGCGCTACCACTGACACAGCCTCGGGTAATGTTGTAGTTGGTTCCACGTCTACCGAGCAACGGTTCACCGATGAGTTGGCAGGCCTACCTCAGCTAGCTAGCCTCGGACCACTATTCCGATCTACACGGGCTGAACGATTGACTGAGCCAGAGGCCGAGTATCAGGTGACTTGCGTGAAACATGTGTTTACCTCCCATATCGTTCTTCAGGTTAGTCAGATCAAATATTATGATAATTCATTTTCCTTTGTTTTTTATCGTATTAATATTTATGCGAATGTTTTACTCAACCTGTTACAAAAGTACTTCCAGTTTTTTAGACTTTTTTCTTCATGCTATTTTAAACTTTTTCTTTTTCAAGAAGCTATTAATGGATTTCCTTAATTTTCTTTATTTTACTAGTAAAAAACTCTTTATACATCCTTCTCTTTTATCTTTAAAAACTCACTTTTTCACTATATCGTTTATGTTCCCATTATCTTTTGAAGTTAAGTCAAATATGATCGGCCAACATGTTGCTAAAAGGAATAAACAAAGTTTGGCAAATAAGAAGCCAATTTTCCAGTTTTTACTCCAAAGAAGATTGGATAAATGTGAAGTCTTTCCTTAGTGCCGCCTTTCCGGCTGCATAAACATTTTTACTTCCCCTAACGATCCTCATTTATATTCCCTAGGTCAAAGACCGTTGCTATTTACTCACAGTTACAGTGAAAACCACTTCAAGTATATGCCCTGCAGTCCGATGAGATTTTTTAATATTTTTTCCTCGGAACTATTTTGTCAACGACATCAATACTATACTTTGGTTTAAAGATTAAATTATAAGCTTAAGAACAGCGAATGGTCATTGAGTATCAGTCATGTTTGATTGACCAGAGAGAAGTGAACTTTGCGATTATTGTATCTTATTATTTTCAATAACTCCCCATTGTTATATTCTTTATAAAATAGCCGGTTTATTTTTTATAAGCAACTGGAATGAAACCGGATTTGATTCCAATCATCTCAAAATGTTTTACCTTAATGTAACCTAATACTTATCCGCTCGTTCAGGCTAGTCGTATTTTTTGCGTAGCTCTGTCCACGGTTAGAGAACGAGCTTAGTCTTCGCGATTCCGTCTGTTAATTGCCAAAATACTGAGGTATTTATTAAATGTATCAGTTAGTATAAAGACTGATTTTATTTTCCTTTCTTCCTGATTCTTTATATTCATAAAAGTTAATTTATACCTCCATATGTAAATTAAAATGGTAAATTAAAATAATCTTACTATTTGGGATTTATGGTTCAATGATTCCTTATCGCCTTACAATTAAATTAATTTTATTTTTTATAAGCTTTTTTAGAGAATATAGACTTGAATAAAAGGTTTCACGTTAATTTACACTTACGGAAATTAGTGTCATTTATTTTTACACCATGATTCGGTTGTTGCTCTAAACCTTTTAGATCTACGGAATATTGACCAAATTCGTATATTATACAGAAGATGGGTAGAATACCTTCGTCTGCAATAATTCAAATTATAAGCATCCTTACAACTATATCTTAATTAAAATCTCATTTTGTGCATTCCTTCTTATCTGCTAATGGGATTCTTTTCATATTGGAGCTTTTGCTAAGCCATTGGAGGACGAAATACTGTCAGTTTGTGGATTCTCAATTATTCACTTCCTCTTTACAAAATGACGTTATGCAATACATACAATACAATATGCCTAACCCCTCTGATATGTTTCTTGTACCTTGTTACGATAAGGAAGTTTAGTTTTCAAAACTTGAGTTTATGATCTTAAGTATCCCCACAAAAGAACGTATTTGCTTCTTAATGTGTAATGAGCATTATTATATCTTATAACTGCAAAAATATTCTTGAGTTGGAAAGTCTTTCATTTCGTATGAAAGTGCATGAATGAGAAATTTATAGGTCGATCTCGTCAGAAGAGGACGGCTGACTCCCATTGTACTACAGTCGTTTGGCTTTTGTACGACGTTCGGGTTGATGCA